GTGAAATAATCCCCACAATCAAGCTAATTAACATCATCATCACCTCACATCGTTACCATATATATACATATATACGTATATATATATATATTTTGTGTGTGTGTGAGAACACTTAAGATTTATCCTCTTAGCATATTTCAAGTATACAGCACAGGATTGTTAACTATAATCACAGTGTTGTACATTAGATCCCAAGAACTTAGTCAGTCATCTTCCATAATGGAAGCTTTGTGCCCCTTGATCAACATCTCTCATTTTCCCCTCCCCCAGCCCTTGGTGGAGAGTAATTCTACTCTCTGCTTTTATGAGTTTGACTTTTTAGATTACAAGTATAAGTGAGACTATGCAGTATTTGTCTTTCTCTGTCTGGCTTATTTCACTTAGCAACATGTCCTCCAGTTTCATCCATGTTGTTGCAAATGGCAGGATTCCCTTCTTTTTCAAGGCTGAATAATATTCCATTGTATATACCACATTTTCTTTTTCTGTTCATCTGCTGACAGCATTTTGATTGTTTCCATATCCTAGCTATTGTAAATAATGCTGCAGTGAACATGGGAGTGCAGATAACTCTTTGAGGTCCTGATTTTGTTTCCTTTGGTTATATACCACAAGTGAGATTGCTGGATCTTCTGATAATTCTATTTTTAATTTTTTGAGGAACCTCCATACTGCTTTCCATGATAGCTGTACCAGTTTACATTCCCACCTATAGTGCCCAGGGTTCTGGCTGACATCTTGAATGTAACCTCATGAGAAACCACGAGCAGAACCACTCAGCCCAGCGGCTCTGGAATTCCTGACCTGCAGAAACTGTGAGATAATGAATGTTTGTTGTTTAAAGCTGTTAACTTTGGGATAATTTGTCATGCAGCAATAGATAATTAAAACAGATTGCACAGAAAGAGAGAAGGCAGGAACTGGAGTCTGGAAAGTAGGCAGAACTCTGCCTCTGGCTGCTCTGCCTACTGGCTTTCTCCAGTACTTCAATCATCGACAGCAACATGGTTACCCCGTGGCTCCTGTGTTTACATGCTACAGTTCCAGTGACATAGAAATCCCAATTCTGAATTTTTGAGTGAGGCAATGTGGGGTCCAACTTGGCTTAGTTGTGGCAGGGGATATGTTTAGGGACAAATCCAAGTTTTGTGGGGCTTGAAGATTATATGATTTGTGGGGGTGCTCATTGAGAAAAAGATCACATACAAAAAATTACTTGGGGGGACCGGCCCCATGGCCTAGTGGTTAAGTTCACGCACTCTGCTTTGGCGGCCCAGGGTTTCACTGGTTAGGATCCTGGGTGAGGACATGGCACCACTCATCAGGCCATGATGAGGTGGCAGCCCACACAGCACAACCAGAAGGACTTACAACTAGAATATACAACTACGTACTGGGGGGCTTTGGGGAGAAGGAAAAAAAATGATCACTTGGAATGAAATAAATCCCAACAAATTAGAAATGTTCTAAAGCTAACAAATACCAAAACATTACGAAATAAAAAAATTCCATGATATTTTTGTTAGTTAACTCTGAAGGTTGGAAGAGGTTTCCATAGGGTATCTTCTGGCTCTGTACATTGCAAACCCAAGTGCATCCAGATGCTGTAGGCCACATGAGTACAGAGATGTGAATTCTGGCTCTGCACTTTCATGCACGATGCTGGGTGAGTTGACGCAGTGGGTGACAGCAGTGCTCCTGGAAGCATTCTCCACTGGGATGACTACCAGTAACTTAACTAAATATGAAACTATTTACAAATCATATAAATATATGCAGTCAACCCAACCACAGTGTATTTCCACCTCAACCACCCCTTAGATGGACCTCACATTGTCTGCAGCCACTCTAAAGCTGCTGGAAGGAAAGCGTGATGGGGTGGGGGGGGGAATCTAGGTGGGAAGATACAGTGGTTTTAACCAATTGTGGCTAAAATACCTTCTTTTAAGGATTTTACGACAAACATCTGCCCCTGTGAACACATAGCTATGTCCTTCCCAGGGCCTTGGAAGAATCCGGGCAAGTGAGGATCCCTGAAGTCTTGGTTTGTCCCCTTCATGGAAAAATTGCCTCTCAGCAGGATCTTGTAGTACAGAATGGTTGCTGGGGACCTAGCCTGGTGGACGAGGTGGGTGTTCCCTGAGAAAATGAAAAAATTCTGTGACGATAGATAATTACAATATACTGTGAGAAGTGATGTGGGCAGACGAAGAGAGCACAAATGTGGAAGTGGGGGATCGACTCAGTCTTGCAGAGTAGACGTCAGGGAAAGCGTGTTGTGGAAAATGACGTCTTGGGTGAATTATAAAGGTTGAGTGGAAGTGAGGGGGGAAGAATGTCCCAGGCAGATAGGTAGTATATGTAAATGGAGGAAGTGTGAGAGACCATGGCTGACTTGGGGCCACAGCAAACGTTTTAGTGATGTTAAAGTGAAGGGTGTGAGGATGGGGTTGCCTGAGAGGCAGCTCAGGAAACAACACAGGTCACATCATGAGGGGCCTTGCATGCCATGCTAGGCTCTTGGAACTCAAACCTGATGGAAATGCCGAGTCGATACAGCGTTTGGAGCAGGGAATTCAGATGATCCAATTTGCATTAGTAATCAACCCAGCCCTTCCCATCAGTGTGGGAGACTTAGCAGTGTTAAAAGAAAATTTTCCACAGACAATTTTGTGATCTGGTAGGCTTTCATTCGGGGAGTCATGAATCAGGCAGCATCCAATCCAGCAGATAGAAAGGAGCTCTGAAGACCTGGACAAGGAGAGAGATTTTTATAGACCAAAGTGAGCAGGAACAAGTCAGTTATACTGAGCATTTTCTGATTGGTTAAAGCAGGATTAATTTCCTTATATGGAACATAGGGTAATCGTGGAGCCAGGTCAGGTAACTTGTCAGGCAAGCCTTCATTGGTTGACCTAGACCTTCCTTTTCTGGGAGAGCAAAGCACGGAAACTTAGTTAAATTTTACTTTGCTGACATGGGGCTTAGCATGAGTGACTCCATCTTGGGCCTAATGTAGTTACTTCAACAGCAGAGAGTGGAGCTCCTTCCCACTCAAACATAGAAATGCAGAAAAAAAAATTAATAACAAAATAATTTGAAAGATATGATTGAGCTCAAATCTAAGGAAACACAATCCCCAATAGCCAGAACTCAAGAGGCTCCTAAAAGCCAGAAAAGTGAGTGGAACTTGAACAATGGCCCAATGGGCAGGGGTCTGGGTAAAGTTCTCATATAGTTGGGGCCTGGGGCTTTAATGGCTACAAAGGGAGGGAAGTCTGGACTGCAGTCTTGGTGCAGGCAGAGTGCTGGAACTGACTCTGGGAGCCATAAATCTGGCCGTCCACCCAGGCCTCTGTGGATAAAGGGTTAGGACATTGGAAAACCGTGCAGATGAGGGGTCATTCTTTTCTGAGCTTCAAACACAGAGACCTCTCAGAGACCCCTTTCCCTCCAGAGTCTGGGCTGTGTTTCCTACTTGCAACAAATCATAGGTGTATTTGTTGAGATCCCGCTATATGCCAGGTCTCATGTACTAGAGATAAAGAGATCCTTTTTTTTTTTTTGACGAGGAAGTTTTGCCCTGAGCTAACATCCATTGCCAATCTTCCTCTTTTTTTGCTTGAGGAAGACCAGCCCTGAGCTAACATCCATGCCAATGTTTCTCTACTTTGCATGTGGGATGCCTCCACAGGATGGCCCATGAGTGGAGTAGGTCCACACCTGGGATCCTAACCCACAAACCCACACTGCTGAAGCAGAGCCGGGGAACTGTAACCACTTGGCCACGGTGCCAGCATCCAACAGATATATTTTTTTAGGCTGCTGAATGATTATCTGGGAACATATCCAGTGAGAAAAAATTTGGAAAATTTTGGAATTTCTTCCCCTTAGCTTTCTCAACCTCAGCATTTTTCTGTCTTTTTCCATCTAAGCCCCTGCAAGGTCTTTGAGCCAGGATGAGCTGATTTCAGGAAGCACGTCCTGGCAAAATAGAATGGGAAGGATCCCACCCATAATGAGAGGCCATAAATCTCCATCAAGGGCCCTGATCTTGGTCTGGTGCCTTAACCAGGAATTTTTATTTGTCCACAGGGCTTGGGAATTTATCAGTGGAAGAGCGGTGCTCAGCTCAACTGAGCACATTATCTGTCTACTAGGAAGCAGATCTAGGTGAAAGGTTAATGAATTGATAATGGCACACAAGGCAGGGTCCATAGGGCCTGTGGATCTGATGTCTGGCTTAGGCAAGCCGTGAGTAAATTGAGCTTTTGGGGAACTAGCAGGGTGTGTTAAGGGCTGGGTGGAGGTACCTGACTCCTGGGAGAAAGTCTGTATATAGGGTGGGGTTAGGCTAATTTACACCCTGAGGATTTATAACTTTCTTCCTGACAAGGAGTGTGGAGTGGAATGGTTGAGGTCCAAGTCTCTAAAAAGGACCAGGGAGACAACCTGCAGGCTTTGTTATCTGCCCAGGAGGGAGCATTATTTTGGATGGGGCAGGGGCCACTTGAAATGTGTATCTTGTTCTGTGAGTTACAAATACCCACTTGGAGACTAGATTGCCTCACTGTGTAGCTAAGATCTTGGCCTCTGGAAGCCCAAGAGGGTGCTGGGAGAAGGGCAGGGATGAACTTCACTCTTAGTTCTGCACTGTCCAATATGGTAGCCTCCAGACACATGTGGCTATTGAGCGCTTGCAATGTGGCTGGTCCAAAGTGAGATGTGTTGTAAGCAGATGATACACTTTGTATGTTGAAGACTTGGTACAAAAAGAATGTAAAATATCTTATTATTAATTTTTAAATATTGATTGTGTTGAAGTGAATATATTTTTGATATATTAGGTTAAATAAAATATGTTATTGAAATTAATTTCACCCATTTCTTTCAGTTTTTTAAAAATGTAACTAACTACTAGAAAATGTAGATGACACTTGTGGTCTGTATTTGTGTTTTGCTTTATGTTTCTGTTGGGCAGCGAGTGCTGCCTCAGTCCATCAGGACTTTCGGTTACTGCAGGATGGGGAGTCCCGGGTCCCTTCCTGCCTCTTCTTTCCTGCTCTAAACTCTGGAAACTTGATTAATTCTGCAAGGTCATTACTCTTTTTCACCCACTTCCCTGAAAGAAGAAGCAGTAAATGGGATTAGGGCTTGAGGGATAATCTTCAGGAATTGCTAGGAAGAGGCAGCTGCAGGAGAGGAGATTAGGAAGGTTGAGATCCCACCCTACGTTCTGCATAAAGAAGAGATGCAGAGCCAGCAAGCCCTCCAAGCCCTGTGCTCTCAACTAGGTAGATTCCTCCCTCCCGCCAGGGGACATTTGGCAATGTCTGGAGACATCTTTAGTTGTCGCAACCGGGAGAGAGGTGATGTTACTGGCATCTTAGGTAAGGCCAGGAATGCTGCTAAACATTCTATAATGCACAAGACAGTTCCCCCACCTCCCCAAAACAAAGAATTCTCCAGTCCCAAGTGTTAACAGTGTCAAGGTTGAGAGACCCTGGCCTGAGCTTAGGAAGGGCCTTGGACATAGGTCAGGAGAGAGCCTGTGGACACTGACACAGCAGAGGTGTCTGCTCCACCCTCTCCCATTCCCCGGCTCTTTCCTTGATCATCGGTGACTCATGGCCCTTCCCCTGCAGTCCTGAACCTGCCTGAACTCATCTTGGTGGAGACAGAAGGAGCTCTCCTTTGCAGGTGTGACTCACAGGCCCCATGCCCTGGGTGGAGACCTCTGCCTGCTGGAGACAAGCCCTCTAGGAGAGAGGTCTATAGAGGGGATTGGTCCAGAAGGGCCATGGCTAGTTGCCCACTCTCTTCCCCTTACCTTGTCTATCTATTTTTTTTCCCGTTTCCAACTCCCTCTGCAGCTGCCCTAGAGCTCCAGAAGCTCCTTGTCAGACCTGACTCTACCAGAATTGTGGAGCAGAGGTCAGCCCCTGAGGAAGAAGCTGGCAGAGCTGATAGGGTTTCTCAGAGGGCATAAAACTGTGAACTTACCTCTGAATTTCTTGCAGGAACCCCGGTCTCCAGGGTCTGCAGCTGGGGAGCAGAGCTGTTGGGGTTTGGACAGGTCTATTCTGTAGCTTTCCAACCAGATTTCATTGAGCCCTGATTCCAAACCCCCAGCTCTGTTAGGCACACTCCCCACCCTCAGGGAGTTCACAGTCTAGCTGGGAACACAATGCCTGCACACTTAAAATTATTATAAATGACTTTAAAGAGGACTTGTGATAGCAGAGGCTTTAAAGGAGCAGAGAGCCAGAGTTCTGAGTGATGACGAGGTTGCCCAGAGCTGAGGAAAGAGCCACAGGCTGACCCAACAGTTCCCCACCTGCATGGTGACCGTCTCCACAAAATGAAGGCAACAATAAAACCTAGGGCAAAATGAGACTCTGAACTGCCCCCTGTTCCCACTCCTCCCACACAGTTGGGTAGAGCCCATCTCAAGGAGAACTGCTGGGTGTTTCCACGTTGCTGTCTCCGTGGGAGATGGCTCACTGTGCAGCTTGCTGATTTGGAGGAGAAGGGTAGCAACTCCTTACAGGGAAGATGCAGCCCTGTAACTTGGCAGGGGTTATATTGAGCTTTAGCTAGAGGCATCTCTCCCAGTTCTTGGAGAAAGATTCTGCCCATCATTCGGCCTCATGTGTCCCTCTGACATGAGCTGTAATTTGCTGAGCATCTACTATGTGTCGGATACTATGCTAGGCACCTTGCTGCATTATCTCATTTGACTCTAACAACAAGCAATAATTGAACATTCTCTCTGGGCCAGGGGCTGGGTGACTGGGACATAAGGTTAAAAAAAGACAATATATTCCAGGCACTCATGTCTAATGGAGAAGAAAGACAAACCGACATTTCTAGTGCAGTGTGCGAGTGCTGGTGTGAAGGTAAGGAACCAGCCTTGACTTGTTCTCCTAGCCTGCCGATGAGTACACTGCTACCTGGGTGATTCCTCCTGATTCAGGAAGCTCATGTACGTGCAGAGGCAGCTGGACACCACAACCAGACCTGGACCAGGTACCACGTGTTCCCAGATGACCACCTGCAGCCAAGGCAGATCTTCTCCAATTAAAAACCTAAATGTCTGGAGGCTGGCCTGGTGGCATAGTGGTTAAGTCCCTGTGATGCGGGGTTGGTGAGCTGAGGAGTCGAAAGAAAGATTTCTTGGACTCTCAAGATCTGGCAGTAGTGCTCTTTTATTTAGAGAATAGTATAGAATAGCATGGGGACAGGACCCATGGGCAGTCAGAGCTCCTGCTGCTGCCGCTGCTGCCCCTGCTGGCATGGGGACAGGACCCACGGGCAGTCAGAGCTCCTGCTGCTGCCCCGAGTTGAGGGTAAGGGCTAAATTTAAGGCATAGGTATGTGAGTCATCTCTTTACGAAGACAAAGGAAAGAACATGAAAAAAGTTAAAATGGTATCAGTGCAGGTGGGGTCTGGTCATTGGGTGATCCCATGACTTTTAGACAAGAATCAAATCGGATTAAGTAAAGGTTAGAAAGGTTAGAAGCCACCACCCTAAATCAGTTACATGAGATTGCCAGACAGCAACCAACTTAAGTTCTTGCCTCTGGCATTAAGAGTTTCTAGAGATAAGGCCATCCCCCTTCTTCCTGGCACAGAGAGGGAGGCATCTTTACAGATAGAAGTTTCCCTTAGAAATGTAAATCTTTCCCAACAAAGGGACAAGCAAGCAAATTCCACTCCTTGGAGCCTGCTTCTCACCTGTAGTATTAAAAGTAACCAGCCTAAAAGTCCTCATCATAAACCGTTTTAAAATTAAGCAGCCTAAAAATCCTCATCACCTGCACTCCGCTTCAGTGGCCCAGGGTTCGCCAGTTTGGATCGCAGGCGTGGACCTAGGCACCGCTCATTAAGCCATACTGTGGCAGGCGTCCCACATATAAAACAGAGGAAGATGGGCACAGATGTTAGCTCAGGGCCAATCTTTTTTATTTTTCTTCTGTTTTTTCTCCCCAAATCCCCCTAGTACATAGTTGTATATTTTAGTTGTGGGTGCCTCTAGTTGTGGCATGTGGGACGCTGCCTAAGCATGGCCTGATGAGTGATGCCACATGCATGCCCAGGATCCGAATCAGCGAAACCCTGGGCCCCCACAGCGGGGCACACAAGCATAACCACTTGGCCATGGGGCCGGCCCTAGGGCCAATCTTCCTCAGCAAAAAGAGGAGGATTGGCCACTGATGTTAGCTCAGGGCTAATCTTCCTCAAAAAAAAACAAAAACAAAACAAAAACCCCAAATGTCAGCAGCCAGTCGGTAATACTGAGGGACTTTGCTTTCCTAACATGGGAAAGGGACAGTTCATGGTCTTCTGGCTTTAGAAAACTACCCCATTTCTCCTCCCACATCTTCAGATCCGAAGTTTTCCCAGACTGTGCTGGATTGGGCTTCCTGCTTGAAGGTAAATTTTTCTTTTTTTTCACTCAGCACTCAATCTTTGGATTCTGATAGTTTTAAATTTTTTTCCACAACAAAGGCAAACCAGAGCACAGAGAAGGAATGATGAATTCTATCTGTAGGAGTCAGAGAAATCCCCAGAAGAGGTTACATTTAGGCTGGGACTACGATGATGACAAAGAGATTTGTCAGGCTGACAAAGGGATGGGGAAGCATGTTCCAGGCACTGGGGAGCAAAGCAAGAGCTGTGTGCAAATACATGACCTGTTCAGGCCAGGCCAGGTCATTGGGTGCGGCCACAGGCTAGGTGTTTGGTGGGAACTGTCGGGAGCTCCCTGAAAAGTTAGGTTGGGACAGGCTTGTAAGATACTACTAAGGAGTCAAGAATTCTCCTCATGGGCCAAGGGTTGCAAACTCAAATGCCTCAAGGGCTACTCAGACACGTTAAATAAATGAAGAAGGTAGGTTTTATTCTTTCTTCACAGACACGCTTTTTTTCTTTTTTTGCGAGAGCTCATTTTACACCTATAGTGATATTCTTCACATCCAAAAAGTAAGTATGATCTTCATTCATTCAAAGAGTACTGATTGAGCATCCTCTGTGTGCCAGGCATTGTTCTAGGCACTGGCTATTTGTCTTGAAACATGTAGGTCCACGTTTCCTTTCTCACTTTTGCTAAAGATGAGAATACAATAAATTTTCTCTACTAATAGGAGAAACTCAGAGCATGATAAAAGGGCCACAGACACTCTAAAAAGAGTGGTGGGGAAAAATGGGGGTGGGAAGAATTGGAGAATCTGTGTCCTGTTTAAAAGGGCATCTTTGACTCAGCACCAGATGATTATGGCTGTGCTGGGAATAAGGCTGGTGGAGTGATCTATTTCAATTTTTCTTCCCAGAGAAACTGGGAATATGGAGTTTTACAATGTAATCCATCAATTTTTTTATGTTGGCTAAAAAATGTAAACTTACCATGCTGTCCACAAACAACCTGCTGTCTGGGTGTACCAGGGCTGGGGGTGAGCCATCAGTTCTCTTCCATCCTCTGCTCTAGGCAGTAGGCAGTAAGGGAGGTGTGGCCAAGACTGCCAGATGCCTATTCAGTATTCATTCTCCCCTTCCTCCTTAAATGTGGAATCCCAAGATAGTCAAGGTGGCAACATGCCCTGCTAATGACCATATTTTCCAGCCTCCCTTGCTGACATATGACTCCCATGTGACTAAGTTCTGGCCAATGAGAGGCAAATGGCTGTGACTGGCTGTTATAGGAAAGGCTACAAAAAAGGGGTTGGACAGTTGGCAACTTTTCCCCATTCCTCCGGTTTTGTTCTTCAAACATTGAACTGATGGCTAGAGCTTTAGCAGCCATATTGGGCTAAGAGGCAGCCTTGAATATAGAAGCTTTATTAGTCTGCTTGGGCTGCCGTGACAAAATAACACAGATTGAGTGTCTTAAACAGGCTTGAAGTCCAAAATCAATGTGCTGGCAGGTTTGGTTTCTTCTGAGGCCTCTCTCCTTTGATGATGACCACCTTCTTCCTCTGTCCTCACCTGCTCTTTTCTCTGTATCAGCACATCCCCGGTATCTCTTTGTGTATCCAAATTCCTCTTACAAAGGCATCGGTCAGATTGTATTAGGGCTCACCCTAGCAGCCTCGTTTTAATTTAATCATCTCCGTAAGGGCCCTGTCTCCAAATACAGTCACACACAATTTAGCCCATAACAGAAGTTATGCACTAAAGATGCTGGAGCAGAAAGACAGAAGGTGCCTGGATCTCCATTGCCTTCATGTAACCTCCATACAAGTCTGAACTATTTCTAGCCTTTTTTTTTCATGTGATTGCACCACCATTCAGGACGCACGGGGGTGACTTCTCCCTGATCCCTTTGTCAGCCTGAAAGATCTCTTTGTTATCATTCTAGTCCCAGCTTAAATGTAACCTCTTCTGGGAAACTTCTCTGACTTCTCCAGGCAGAATTCATCATAAGAGACATTAGTTCAAACTGTCGTAGTCCGTTCTCTGTTGCTGGCAGTGGAAGACGATGCCTAGCAGATTCACGAGGCTTCCTGGAAGAGGAGGGATTCAGCCCGGTGTGTGTTTTCCAGGGGTTTGAGGCGGAGGAGGGACATTATAATAGAATGTCAAGCGAGCTGTTATCAGAAGAAGCTAAATGGGAAAGCCAAGGGAGGACAACTCCTATAGCCAAGAAGATCGAGAACTTTCTTAAATGAAATTGAGAAATGTGTTCAGGGGGTTCCATCAAGATACAGCACCCCTGAGTTCTCTGCTGTAAGCTATTTTATGGCTGTCCAGTGAGACTTAGAGCTAGTCAGTTCAACCTCTCAGATTTATTATTGTTATTATTATTACTTTGGTTTATCTGTAATAACACCTGGCTTACCTATCTTACAGTGTTTGGTGAAGATCAAATAAAAGAACAAATGTGAAAATGTTTTAAAAAATATGAATTATCTATACCAGTGTTTCTAAAGTCATTTACCTCCTTTGTGATATTTTGCCTTGTGTATCACCTGCATTGTGATTTTTGGAAAAATTGGACTGTTCTAAACAATTGTTTATTAAAAAACACTTTTAATCAGAATCATAATAAAAAGTGACATAATAAGAAACAAAAATAAAAGCAATATAACGTTATTAAATGGTAGCCAGTTACTGGTAAGTGCTGAGGCTTGTTCTCTCTGTTAAAGAGGGAGACTGGATTAGTGAAGGTTGAAAGTTAAACTAGTACCAAGTACAGACTTCAACCTTGACTAATCAGAAGAGCTAAAAAAAGAGAACAGGAAAAGGAAGAACTTTCTTGTGATTCAGTTAAATGCTATTTAACATCATAGCTACATGATACAGTCTCACTCTTAAAAAACATTGACGTATAAGAATATTTAGTTCTACAGAGAAGTTTCCCCATAGAAGAGGAAAAACCAATAGCCTGTGAATAATTGTGCCAGACCCTGTGTGAGCCCCTTTACTCTCCCGGGAACCTTACAATAGCCAGTTGAGATGGGTGTGACTGCCCTGTTTTCACTCAGGAAAACCAAGCCAGGGGGTTGTGTACCTTGACTTGATCACGTAGATGCCAAGAGGGGGAATCATTCAGAGGCAGCGTGAACCCAGGTGTGCTGGCTCCAAAGCCCATGGACCCTCTCATACCGCTTTATAATTCCCTGATCTAGTCCTTCCTTATGATGTATGGAACTCAAGAAAAACAGTGCCCATTGTCTGCTTGTGAGATGCGGTCATCGGAAAGAGGCAATATAGTGTCTTGGTTGAGAATATGGTCTCTGGAGCCAGACTGCCTGGATTCAAATTCGGGCTCTATCTCTTATTAGCTATGTGACCTTGGGCCAGTTATACAGCCTCTCTGTGCCTCATATTCCTGAGGGATAATAATAGTACCCATTTCATATGGTTGTTGTGAAGCTTAAATGAGTTGATAGTGTAAAGCATTTAAAATAGTGCTGGCACATATTTTGCTCTATTCAAGTGCTAATATCATCCATGTTTTATGTTGTGGCTACCATGCTATGGCTTCGGATAGAGTGCTCCACGCTTGGTTGGGAAGACAGCTTGCCAAGGTATCTCCTCTTTAAAGCAGCCTTCACATCTTTATTCCTTAGGCTGTAAATCAGAGGGTTCAGCATGGGGACGACCACAGTGTAGAAGACAGACACGACCTTGTTCTGCTCCATGGAAGTGCGGGAGCTTGGCTGAGCATACATGAAGGTGATGGTGCCATAGAAGAGGCAGATGATGGTGAGGTGGGAGGCACAGGTGGAGAGCGCTTTGCTCTGAGCCTCCCTGGAACGTATCCTGCAGATAGTCACCAAGATGTAGGCATAGGACATCAGGATAATGGTGATGGTAAAGAGGATAATCAGGGCAGAAGATGAGAAGATGATGGCCTCAACCGCAGAAGTGTCCACGCAGGCAAGTTGGAGCACAGGAGGGACGTCACAGAAATAGTGATTAATGACATTGGGGCCACAGTAGGGCATCTTAAAGATGTACTCAGTTAGCAAAGCTGAATTGGCAACAGAAGCTATATAGGTGGCCACTATCAGCTGGACATACAGACGTTGACACATAATGGTGTGGTAGAGGAGAGGGTGGCAGATGGCAGTGAATCGGTCGTAGGCCATTACGGCCAGGAGTAGAGACTCAGCAGTACCATGGAGAGTCATGAGGGCCATCTGGACCACACAGCCTGTGAAGGAGATGGACTGGCCTGAGGTGAGGAAGCTCTCTAGCAACTGGGGGGTGTTTGTCGTGGAGAAAGAGGAGTCTACGGAGGCAAGGACGCTCAGGAAGAAGTACATGGGCGTGTGGAGCTGTGGGTCTGTGTGGATCAGGATGATCGTGCCCAGGTTTCCCATGAGGGTGACTGCATAGATGAACAGGAAGAGGACAAAGAAGGTGCCCTTGGGCCCTTCCGGCTCTGTGAGTCCCAGCAGGAGGAACCGGGTGACTTGGGTGCAGTTCTCCACCAAGCTGCACACGTCACTGCAAAGAGACCAAGTAAGACATGCTTGTGTCCTCGAGGCAGACCCAGGCTCAGTGCCTGAAGCCCTTTTAATAGCCCCAGAATGGGCAGTGCTGGGGGGACTGGGGAGGGGACACTGGCATTTGTTGAATACCTACTGTGAGTCGTGGGTTAACTTATTTCTTAAACAGCTATTGAAACTTCATACATATCTTGCCATTTAAATATTGTCCCTCTTTGTATTGAGAGAGATTATCAACTTGCCCAAAGTAAGAGAGTTAGTACATAAGGAAAGTGGGATTAGAACTCAGTCCATTCTAATTATCATATGCTTATTTTATAGCTATAATCATTTTCTGTCTCCAAATTTCCTGTGTTGTGGAGAACTGGCATCATTAGTGGGTGTTGGAGGCCTGGTGTGTTGGCTCGGAGAGCAAATAAATGAAAAGATCAATTTGGCACAAAGGATCCAACAGTGCTGGTGCCTGAGGCCAGGGACACAGGGAATCAGGCCTAATGTCATCAGAATCTAAGGTGACTCAGTACAGCAGTCATTTCTCCCAGTGTTGTGAGTCGAACTGTATCTCCCCAAAAGATGTATTGAAGTCCTAACCTCTGACAGCTGTGCATGAGACCTTATTCAGAAACCATCTTTGCAGAAGTAATCAAGTTAAGAGGCAGTCATACTCTACTAGGGTGGGCCCTTCATCCAATATGACTGGAGTCCCTATAAGAAGAGAGGATGAAGACACAGGGAGGAGATGCCATATGAAGATATAGACTCAGAGGGAAGGCAGCCATGTGAAGACAGAGGCAGAGATGGGAGTCATGCTGCCACAAACCAAGGAACGTCTGGGGCTTCCAGATCTAGAAGAAGCAAGGAAGGATCTTCCCCAAGAGGACTTATAGAGAGCGTGGCCCTGCCAATACCTTGATTTGGGGCTTCTAGCCTCCATAACCATGAGGGAATAAGTTTCTCTTATTTAAAGCCACCCAGTTTGTTGAACTTTGTTACAGCAGCCTGAGGACACTAATCCACCCAGCTGGGGTTACTCCTGGCTGTTGAGGCTGCTGTGCTTTCATGGAGGCCTCCTGATTTGTCAGGAGATTGGGCTTTCCTGATCTCTCTCTATTGACAGAGCTAATAATTCAGGGAGAGAAAATTTAAAAAATAAATTAAAACAAAGTCTGGGTTCACTAGTAACTACATTAGTTACTAGTTATTCACTAATAACTACAAAAAATTTTGTCAGGGAGAACAGGCAGCTACAGTAAATATGAAAACTCCAGCTCAACAAAACCATGGCCAAGGAGCAAAGGTCTTGTGTTTTAGCTAGAAACAACTAAGAGCAGTAGGACATGCCAGGTTTGTGGCATTGCGGTCCAGAATAAGCAGGGCACAGTTTTTAAGGCAGAATTGGAGGTGAGATCTCTAATCAAGGAGCACAGGGCAGAGAGTACACACACCTACCACCTTAAGCTCCCTAGAGGGGGCTGTCATGTTTCTACAAATTCTCTTCACTGTTGTCATGCTCCCCCCAGTTTTCCTCTTGGGATCCATCTATCTAGGTTTTCAAACAACCAAGGCTGCTATTCTGAGTGGAAGCTCTTTTGTGGGATACTGGCCAGGGTCTGCTCTGATAGGTTGGATGTCTGTTTTGGTTGGTTGAGTGTTGGTTCTGATTGTTTGGGTGCCTGTTCTGATTGGTTGGTGCCCATGGCATACTGGTTGTTAAATGTTTGGAATTCTGTATCATCTGAATGATGTTTGGAACAAAGGAGGAATAATTCAGGGCCTCTTAGGGCATGCCAGGGTGCTAGAAATAGGTGGTCTCTAATCAAAGCCAGTAATATGGCTTTGCGCTGTCAGCGTCTATTGACAACTCTGGGTCTCTTAAAATGTGAATAATACACGCAGATTTTACCTATGGAGAGTACCAGTGGGGACGCTTCTTCTCTACTTGTGATGTTTCCTTCCCTATGAAGGGACATCCATTGAGTAACACTCCTGTCCCCTCTTCTCCTGGAGGAGGGATGGCTTCTGTGATCAGTGAGTTTGGGATAAAGCATTGCATGTGTGTAGTTACGCTCCGCCCTCTTCCTTGCCTGTTGGAAGCACAGGCTCTGCTGTGCTCCTCCCTAATCTAGATCTTAAAACTAGATCATTAAATCTTCTATTTCTTGGGTTCAATTTAAGAAGATGATTTACCTACAACCGTAAACAATGCTCTGCCGTACCCAGTTTTATCAGTGATGCAGGTGGTATTTTGCGTTCTATCTGCTTTGCTTCTACCTCTTCTTTCTTAATTCGTTCAGAATTTGCATGGAGAAGAGGGATGCTCTTCATTTTGGTTCTTAAAGACCTCAGCAGAGAGAAAACAAGAATGAACCTAGTAGGGGAAGTTTGCTTGGTCTGTCTCATCAATAATTCCACAAGATGAGCTCCAGGTCTCTAGCAAACTGATATGGTTGAGTTAAGGGGGATTTGGTAATAACACTGGGTGTGATGGAAGCTTGGAAGATCCTAGATTCCCACTAATGATTCCTGGTTGAGAGAACAAGAGGAGAGCTTCCTCCATTGCCCCTGCTGAGACGTTGGTAAGGGGCTGCCATGGCAATGAGAATGCATTTGGGCAGAGTGTTGAAGTGTCCTGACATGACAGAAGAGAGGAGGCTTATGAAGTTCGGAAGAGGGGAGGCTTATGAAGGGGGAGGCCATCTCAAGATGGGAGATTCCCTGAGAATTTCGGAACATCTCCTATTCCCATGGATATCTTACAAAGCCACAGATGGGTTCCTGCTCTCTCTGACAGCTCTGCTCTTTCCTGGGCACAGGAAGGGAATTTGCCATTTTAGGCAATAAGTTTTATTTCTTGATATTTGGGTGTAAAGTACAGTGATCAGTAATTTGTAGTCTCAGCTGTTTTCATAAATAATTGCCATTTTTGTAGAAAGAGTTTTAATGAATGGTTAAAAAAACTAGAGTTTTCAGACCACCAGGGTAGCCCAGGCACTATTTCTTTGTGGCTTTTAAGAAATTAACCTTTATTAACCACTACTCATCATTGTTAACCAGAAGGCACGCTGCCCACCTTCTGGAGGATGGCCTTGACAGCAGAGTCCTATAAGTGGCGAGCTGTTGAAGAATTTTAAGGCGGATGGTGACAGGGTCAGACTAAGTTGTAGTCAAGAGAAGTTAGAGAGGAGGCGGGAACTACATTAGGCAATTGACCATAGCAGTTTTGGCTAGGGTACTGTTATTTTATCAACTCACGAATAGTGAAGTCCCATTATTAATACTGGAGACACAATAGTGACTGAGGTAGACAAGATCTTTGCCCTCAGAGAGTTTAAGAACTGGAAAGATTAGGGAAATATTTAGGAGATGGATTTTTCTGTACTTTCTCATTAATTGGATGTGTAGGCTGGAGGAGGGTCAGGGATGACATCCAGGTGCCTGGTTTGGGTAACAGGGTGAATAGTGGTGTCATTCTCTCTAACAGGTAACAGGTTTGAGGAAAGATGTGGTGAGTTCCATTTTCAGTAGAGTGAGCTTGGGAGAGCAAAATACACAGGTCCGGGAGACAGATGGGTATGTTGTTTTGAAGCTTAGGAGAGAGTTCCGTGTAGAAGATGGAAGTTTGAGAATCATTGGATGTATTCAGCCATTCAGAATATGTTTATTGTGCATCTACTGTGTGCCAGGCAGTGTAGGAAGTGAGGATACAACGGTAAGGAGAAAACAGATATGGTGCTCATTCTTGTGGAATTTAGAGTTTAGAGGGGTAGACAAGCATTAATGAAATGATCATACAAATTATTGAAAAGCTGCAATGGGAAAAATAGCTCTGAATTGGAGATACTCAATGCTATGAGCCTAAATCTTTGACTCAGGGAGGTCAAGGAAGATTTTCCCTAAGAAGAGATTTCAATAGAAGAGAAGAGTGGAACAGCCTATACAAAGGCCCTGAGGTCTGAGAAAGCCTAGTGAGGAAGAGGAGCTGAGTAAAGGCCAGTGTGGGTAGACGACAAAGAGAGAGAGTGGTGTAAATTGAGAGAGGCAGGCAGGCAGTGTTCGTAACATTTACTGAGTGCTTGCTGTGTGTCAGGCATAGTTCAAAACACCTTTAATTGCATTTGATCCTCTCAACAACCTTATGAGATGTGCTACTGAGACCATTTTACATAAGAGGAAACTGAGGCACAAAGAAGTTAAGGAACTTGCCCAAAGACTCAGTAAGTGGTAGAGCTGGTGGTGAATTCAGGTGGTCAGGATCTAGAGCCTACATGATTATCCAGTACTCTACACCATGTTAAGCAATTTGTTTTCTGTAGGATGCCATTAAAGAATTTTTGCCAGGAGGATGAAGTAGTCATATTTGCTTTTTGATAAGATCACTCTGAATGCAGTTGTGGAGAAATGATTGGAGGAGGGTCAATGGATGGGGGAGATTTGTTGGGAGGATATTGAAGTCATCCAGAAGGGATTTATGAGACGGGGTAGTGGAGACAGATAGAGGTAAATGGATTTAGAGATGTCTGACTGTAAATGTCAGGGTTTGGCGATGGACTGAAGATGCCAGTGTGAAGAGGAGAGCAGTTATCAGGGTGAACTCCAAGGTCTCTGGCATACAAAATAAAGCTGGCTGGACAAGAGGCCCCAGGGTAGAACCCTAAGGAAATTAACTTCAAATCTACTGGACACTGCTTCAGAGCTCTGATTTTTTTCCCATTCACCTAGGTGCTGGGGCTGATGATCAGATGTGAAAAGTTTGAGCATGGTTTATGAGGAAGCTGATGGGGTTCAGGACAGGCTGCCCCAAGATGCGCCACTCTGGTATGCAGATTATTTTGAGCTGAAGACAATAAAGACTCAGACTCAGGAAGAACAGTCCACATTTTCCCCTAACTGCCTAAAAGAAATTTAAAGTAAAGGCCTGTTCCCAGGACAGGCCATCACCGCAGATAACTCTGGGTATCCAGTAGACTGGGAGGATACTTGCTAAATCCACTCTTATCAAAGTTCTACTTACCAAACGTTGGCTTTCCTATTTCCGTGTGAGTTGCCTTCCTGCCCTTTGAAGGCCCAAATCACTATCCAAAATGTCCTCCTTGTCTCTAGCTGAAGATACTTAAACAGGCAGCCTCGGCCAGTTGGCTGAGTTACTCAGTTTCTCCTGAGTTTCTCCCATGTGTACATGCTATTAAGCTTTGTTCGATTTTCTCCTGCTAACCTGCCTTTTTAATTATTTGACCAGCCATAAGAACCTTAAGGAAAAGGGGGAGGGGGATTCTCCCACTTCCCTGACAAAGGGAAGATAAAGGAGTCTAAGCCTTTACTGGTAAGAGGATTCCACACCTTAACCCACTTACCTGTGGTTGAGCAGAGACCATCCATCCATGAGCGTTGTTCTTGGAGACCTCCTGTGTGTTTCTCTCTCCTTTACCTTGATTGCCTCCCAGCAGCTTTCTCAAGAGAACTTCTGCGGAGCAGCCCTGTTGCCAAGTGGTTAAGTTCACGCGCTCCGCTTCAGTGGCCTAGGGTTTCACTGGTTCGGATCCTGGGCGCCAACATGGCACTGCTCATCAGGCCATGCTGAGGCGGCATCCCACATGCCACAACTAGAAGGACCCACAGCTAGAATATACAACTGTGTACTGGGGGGCTTTGGGGAGAAGAAGAAAAAGATTGGCCACAGATGTTAGCTCAGGTGCCAATCTTTAAAAAAAAAAAAAAAAAAAAAAAAAAAAAGGAGACCTTCTCAGATAGTCTAACAAAACTTTGAGATTCCTTATTGCTGGGAAGGCTCCTGTGTTAAGATTCACCTGGCTCTTTTCATCCTGACTCCTAGAGTTCAGAAACGTGCCAGTGGGAATTTGTGACTAATTTTCCCAGGAGCGGACCTGGAACCCGAGGTTGTCTTTAAGGGATGCTGGAGAGACCTTGGTGAGGGTTGTCTGGGGTCCCCTGAGGAGCAGGGAGTCTCCATCAAATGCCAGGACAGACCCTCTTTATTTACAGTGTTCGTCCCTTGTGGTTCTTCTTTTCAGGTTATTGAGACTTAAAAGGCTCTCAAGGCCAAGATGCACTCAAGAGTACATGTCAACATACTCCTCAGGTCTCCTAAGAAGTGGCTGAAAGTGCTAATGTTATCAGCAAATGTGTGGTCTTTAAGGGTCTAGACATGGCTTCCTCAATTGTTATTTCCTTTAATCCTCAGAATGTTCCTGAGAAAGATGCTCGATGGTATTCTTATATATATACATATATATACACACACACACACACACACACACTAGTGGGATTATACCATAACTGCTTTATTCACTTAACAATATTGAAAACACATCTCTCTGCTTCAAAAAAATGTAATTCTTTCCCCCCTTCAAAATAGCTTTATTGTCTTTGAAAAAATAACACATCCTAGTTGTAAAATATTTAAGCAACACAGAAAAGAACCTCTAAGAAAGTAAAATGTCATCTGAAATCCTACCACCACGGAAAATGGGAGTTGGTGAGCGTTCTGTAATTTTCCATAAAGAGAAGCATACTATACAAGCTGTCATTTACTTTCTTACTCAGCAAGATGTCATGGACATTTTCCCACATCAATCAATAAATAGCAGCCTACATCATTGTATTTAATGGCTGCATATTATTTTGTTGTGTGTGTGTGTGCCTTTATCTACTTAATTGGTCCCCATTGGTTGACAATGAGGTTTTTCTAAATTTTCACTGTTATAAATAACTCTCTAACAGACATCCCAAGGCATGGGACTGAGGACCAAGTCCAGGGAGAACAGAGTGTAGAGAGACTGCTTTCCCCAGGCCAGGAAGGAAGAAATTGGCTCTTTCCTTGGGGAGCCTGACACCCCGGAGTCCCATAGTCTTGGGGGAAATCACTGTGCAAAGTAAAGGGCCTTGTGAGGCAGATGACTTGTTTGTGTAAAAGAAATGCAGTCCCTAGACTACTGATCAGGGGGAGGGCCTCAGCAGATGAGAGACTGGATTGCCCAGGTTTCCTGCAGGTGAGAGGGGGTTTATTCACTTGGGAGAGACCTGAGGAATCTCACTGACGGAAGCGAAACAAGGCTGTGTCCTCTGACCTTCCCCACTGCGTTCCAACCTGCACAAGTTGTCTGACACGTCCTTCTCACAACTGCCCCCTTCATTGTGTCAATTCTCTACTTATGAACATGCAGTAGCCCCCTTCAGCCTCTTTGGGGTAGATTTTATTATGATGCCTAAGAGTCAATGCTCCTCCATGGACTCTCAGATAAGAATTCTTATCTATTCTCTTTTCTCATTTAAATTAAGCTTGGCCACACGACTGGGTTTGGCCCTGAGAGTACGAATGGAAGTGGTTTGTGCCCTTCTGAGCATAGAAAACTTAGAAGCCATCCCATGGTCCCCTACCTCCCCTCATTCCCCCCTGCTGTGTCACCTCATGTCCAAGATACAGGGCTTTCTCTTATATCAGCCTGAGTCTTGGACTGAAAAGGAGCAGACTCACCACTGACTCACGATGGGATGTGAACATGAGTGAGAAATAAACTTTTTGCTCTTGTAAAACAATGAGATTTGCGTGGTGTTTGTTAATATAACAGCCTTAGCTGCCGATACATTCTTTAAGGGCAAACATCTTTTCTTGGATATGGCCCCAGCACTATCTCATCTATTATAACTCAGATCGTCCATGCCTCTCAGATAGGGTTCCTTCCTGTCTCCTCTGAGGGGCGGCTCCTGCTGCTTCTTCACTTACTGAGCCTGCCTCTAGCTAATTGGCCCAAGGCCATTCAATTTTGCTTTTTAATATGAGAAGGTTCTTGTTGCTAGTGGCAGGTTCTATATGATCCTCTTCTTGCAAACCTGATTCACAGGTGATGTGTTGCAATGAAAGAAAGTCTGGAACCAAATTCTTCCAAACTTAAAAATTCTGCCAAACTAAGTTGTTAGTAAGCGAGCACAGCAGTCAATAAACCCGCTGTTATTCAGCAGCAGTCTCTTTCTCTCTCCTCAGGTACACTGACCAGCAAATCTTTCAGGAAAAGCTCAGTCAGAACTGAAATATTGATATTCTTATATACCAGTTAAATCAGCTGGCAGGATCCTCCAGGACCTAGAGAGATGCAGAACCAAAAATCTATGCTTTCTTTCTTTTTTAGGAAGATTAGCCCTGAGTTAACATCTGCTGCCAATCTTCCTCTTTTTGCTGAGGAAGACTGGCCCTGAGCTAACGTCTGTGTCCATCTTCCTCTACTTTATATGTGGGATGCCTGCCATAGCATGGCTTGACAAGTGGTGCAGAGGTCTGCACCTGGGATCTGAACCAGCAAACCCCGGGCTGCCAAAGTGGAAAGTGCGAACTCCACTGCTGCACCACTGGGCCAGCCCCTGTGCTTTCCTCTTACTTGCTAGTAAATGGGAAAGACAAGAATCTGCTGTGAGCCTTCAGTACTTGCTTGTATATGGTATTGTGATGGTTTTATTCTGAGTATTATATGTCCATGGTCTTGGATGATATGCTTTTGAAGAATATCCTGACAGTGAAACCTACATAAAGGCTACATAAGCAGCCAAATGGATGTCCTTTATTGTCTTCACATCTCTTTTTGATCAAAGGTGGCTATATGTTAATAGGGCCAAGTGAAAGAAACCCAGAAAGCTGGAGTTGAAAGGATTCTTGTGGAACATCTAGTTTAAAACGTTTGGGAGTGGGAAAAGAGGCCTAGAGAGGGAAGGTGCTTGGCCAAAAATTATATACAGTGAAATCTGGGGCTGGAGACCTGGTCTTTCTAAATAGAAAATATTTCCTAAAATTACCCACCACTGCCGTAGTACTGGACTGCTGTTCCCAGTTCCACTGGATGACCTGGATCCTTTTGGATGAAAGCTGATGATTCATTAACCATCCGGGGGACAGATAGACTATTTACACATGGCAATGAGCTCCTCTCCAGCTGAAATTATTTTCCTGTTAACTGTCTCTGCCCACTCTGTGGCAGGGTGGGAGAAATGCACAGCATCAGAACCCAAGTATAATTGATACCCCCTCAACACAAGGTTGACATAAGAGAAGCCATATTGTAGAAAAGAAACCATACTGTTACTTGAATTGACCTCTGACTAACTAGTCCAGATATGCTCTGTAGACTTTGTGGCCCCTCCCAGCTGCTTTAAGGTGGTAAATTTCTTCTTTTGAATTCTCTAGGAATGTGATGACCCCCGGGCAGAGAGCCTATGGTGATAGCCGTCATCAGTGACAACTGAAAGATCTGGGTATAAGCCATTGCTCCATTCTCTGATGCATATCCATAAAACGAAAGACTACCAGGAACTGGGACCAGATATCTGCCCCCCGCCCCCGCCCCCCAGAAACCAGCCACCTCCGACACCTGGAGACCAGCTCTGTATATAACTGGCCTGTAGTCTTTGTTCTGTGAGATAGTTCTTTCTGACATGAGTTGGCCATCTTCCCTCTTGCTAGCAAGCTGTAATAAAGTCCTTTCTCTCCTACCACCTTGCCTCCTGACTATTGGCATGTCTTGTGGTGAGCAGACAACCCCCCTTGGGCGGTAACATAACGTCATCAGAGGGAGGAAGTGAGGTGAAGTTCTGTTTACATGGGAACAGAATAGCATCTCATAGTGGTACTTTAAAATAATAAGTTGAACTTGACAATGGCAAGCATCTATAGCCACATAGCTTAACTATTGGGACCGAGAACTGAGACTTCCTGTGGCAACATGACTTAACTAATTGTTCCAGGAAATTCAGGCCTAGGAAGATATGACTCTAAATCAATAAATAACTTCACTGTTTGCTTCATGAAATTCCTGCAAGCCAATTTATCGGAACAAATAGTTTGCTCCTTTAGGCAAACAGCTTTCCTATCAAGACAATAGATTATTCACCTGGGCAAACAATTTTCTCAACAAGCAATAGGTTATTTATCAAGATTTATTTTCAGGCCCTTCTCTCTCTGCATCTGCCAATCCCAAACCATAATGACCCAAACTTTGTCCAATCCTGATCTGCTCCCTGGCTTGAAAGATCCACCTAAAACTACTTGAGTCCAGACTCCCAAACCCTGTAAATATCTTCCACTGGTTTCCTCCTTTTTAGACAGTACTGAGATTCTGTATTTTCTCTTATTGCGCTACTACAGTAGGTCTAGTAAACTTAGCTTGGGTTGATGAACAGGTTTTCTGGTAGTCTTTTGAAGAGTTATCAGTTGACAATCTATTCTATACCCAGGGTTATTTGAGGGCATTTTGCTTCCTGTTTTTTTTAAGGACATTTTGCTTTTTGTTTTGGCCATTTTTATTTCTCTAATGATGATCATCAAAAAGAAAAGCGGAGTTATATTGCCTGTATTGTAACTCTAATGGAGTTTGCCTT